ACTAAGTAATTCATATCATTGGAAAAATAATCATCCATGATTTCCCATTTTTCTTTTTATTTCCAGATTATTGAGTAAAATATTTGAGTTTTATATTTTTACCCCCCCCCCCCCCCACAAAAAAAATACCAATCCAATTTCTTACCGGAAATCACCCTCATATTTGTGTATTTGAAAATGTTACTTTACTTTACTTACTTACGTTAAAAAAAGAACAAAACTCATCAATACATTTATCGTTTTGTTTAGAATCTAAAACATTGAGGAAATTTAATAATATGTGCTTAGAAAAAACTTACAAATTATTTGGATTATGAATATATGTAATCAAATTCATTTTCTAAATAAGTAATAGGCACTAGAAACCATATATCAAACAATTTGTAATAATTATTATTTTTATATATTATGATAAACGTAAAAATTTGAAAGGTATTAAAGCCAGTCCGGATGTTTAAACTGGCGGTTACAAAGCGAACATTGTTCATAGAAAATGACTTAAGAGAATTGTGTGGTATTAATTATTTAATGGGATGGTTTGCATTATTCTGTGTATGTTTTGTTTAGAAGGTAATGGTTTCGTATCTGTAGATTTGTATCCATTAACTTACGGTTGGCATTTGTAAACTATTATTAACTTTAATTAATATTACACATTTATACTAATATTATGTTTTCGCAAGTTCATCTATCTATATTGCTATATTCGTGATGAGTTAATAGTACTACTCTACTAAAAAAAAATAATCCATTCAGTAAGCAATATAATATATAGAATTATCGAATCTTAGTGGGACAAAATGTTTTAAAATTTACAAACAGTTTAAGAAATCCATTTTAAAAATATACTATAAATCATAATATGGTAAGTTTCCATGGAAAAAAAGTTTAAATACCGCCTCTATAACTGTGATTACATACGTTTTAATTAGTTACTAAAAACCTCAAGAGTATATTATTATACGTATTATTACAATGTAATTGGCGCAAACATGTTATGGTAGAAAAAAATAAGAAGGTAAAAAAAAAGTACGGAGTAAAATAAAAGACAGTGAGGCAAATGCACTAATAAAAATGAACAGTGTGCAGATTAATTTGGGAGGTCGATGAACTACCTATCATAAACAAATGAAGGGACAATGTGTGAGTGTAGTGTTTATGTTTATTTTATGTTTATCGCGGGGGTAGTGTGCAACATGTGCTAACCGGTAAACGATATACACGAAATATAATTCAGTAACAAATATGCCGTTGCGCGTTCACCAATGACGTATAACACGAAAATGTGCACCTACCTTTGCAAATAAATGTAAAATAGGCCACTAAATTGTTTTTCCCTGGTAAGACATAAGCTGAGTGTAAGACAAACTCTGCCTATTTTTTATTATTTTCAAAATATAAAAGTATTTTTAAGATGGTTTTAATTATGTCGATACCTACACAGCCTGTTAAAAAAAAATCTGTATTTATTCATACAATAATTTAATTAATTATATGTTAGTGATATCCAAGTTATCAACATAGAAGTTATTTAATATATTTTAAAAATTGTTTAGAGTGATAAGACCATTTTACGTTTGTCATCATCGTATATTTTTTCTGACTAGGTACGTGTCACAGATAAAAAAATATTTTGTCGAAAAATGATTGAATAAGATAAATGTTTTATTAACTATATTATTATAATAGCTGCATTCACTATACTAGTGTAAACTGTCTGACGTACACATTTGAACTATTATAGCATAGACAAAAACAAATTTAATTTGAAAAAATATGAATTATTCAATATTGTTTTTAATTTTTAATTTGTGTTCAATTTACTTAAGGAGTATCACGCAATTATACTCAAAATGTTCATGCTCCCATGGATGGTGGTGGGGCAGGAATCTGAGGTTCCACTGTTTTCACATGGCCTTTTCAAATAATATTTTATTAAATAATGTTTTTCTTAGAAAAAGCTGAAAATAGAATATTGTTGTTCGTATTGAAAAAAAAATTGGTAATTTAATTTTATAATTGTTAAAAGTTGTAAAATATACGTATAGCGATAATATACGAACTCAATATTATATAACAAATACAACTTACTATTACATATTTATATAATGGTTTTAATCGTCAGTCTCAATCACGTGTTATTGACTTAGGTACATAATATGATAGTATATCATGATATTTCTATAACAAGTGAAGACGAAATCAAATAATGGGCAAAATGAAAAAAAAAATATAGTTTTATAATTAAATTTTATTAATTATAGTTTTCCTATACAATTTTGAAATAAATTTTACTATAATATGTAAACGTGTTATTAAAAACTATAGGACATTTATACAACTTCGTGACCATAAGTGTAACTAGGTCTTTCAATTCAGTGGGTTGGATATTACCAACATTTTTTTTTCATTCTCTTATGGTCATCTTTTTAGACATAAAAACTATTTTCTTGTATAAGAAGACATTAAATACATAGATTATGCTGTTTCCCATTTCTCCCCTCCCCCACCACCATATTAAAGTTTTATTTACTACACTGTTATTAACCATACTACTCTATTACGTTTTTAAAAAAATGTTCTGGTCTATACATCATATTATTGTGTATAAAATCATTACTCTACGAAAGTGTCTATCTTTAGGTGTGAAAATGTATGTGTTTTTGTGTACTAACTACTTACCTCATCCTCAATGTCTATTACTCCTTATGCGTCCACAGAGATGCTTTTCCAGGGTGAGGCTTAGTAGGTACCAGTGTACCACTATATTTTAAATTAGCAGTTTGTAGTTTTCCTCTCAGTACATAATTTTACAACCTGGGAGTGATGAACAATGCAATATTATTCTAACTGGAAAGTATATACGATGCATGGAGATATGTGTTGTGTGCTTGTGTCACACTTTTAACTTTTAAGTGCTTCACTGTCAAATTCTGATTTGTCGAACACTAATTATAAATGCTAATTCCTTGGTATTTCTAATACTAAGGATTTTATCGACTACAAACATTGTAACCAGGAGTTTGAATATTTGAATTTTAAACAAATGAAATTTTACTATATAAAGAATAGTATTGTGTTAATAAATTAATATACGAGATATATCGTGCTTAACTTAGATATTTGAATTATAAGGCTTTCAAGACGACCGTCTTAATAATGGTAAAAAGAGATCCGATGTCGCCTTAACATTGCAGGAGATATACTCTGGATATCATCTTTGACAGGATTTGGTGCCAAGCAGGTGAACTAGGGATGTAAAAACGTGTGTGATTCTTCATCTCATATATTATGGTCTTATTCGACTAGTAGAGTTTACTATTGTACATTTGTACTTTAAATATGTATGGATAAAATATTTTATACTACAAAATACAAATGTTATGGAAAAATGTTTGCATGAAAATCGAGTAAAACGTTACACATAATAATATATACGTAGATATATATCGAGATTATGTATTCTTTGTGTAGGTATACATACTCCTTTGTATAGATGTATATTTAAACGACTTGATAAAAGTAACAAATATAATATTCATAAGTTGTGGACACTACGAGAACTATGTGAGTCTATGCATTAAGTTCGTGGGACCTTTTAGTGCGAGTGAAATGAAGAAAATCATGTGAATCATGTAAAAAATAAAAAAAATCCTATTTTGATCCAAATTCACACCCGGGGCTCTATAATAAAGATATATATTTTTTCTTGGCATAGCACACTGGAATATTTATAAAAATAAAAAAACAACTGGCACTGCGAGGTGGACTTTATGCGGTCACGGCCGGTTCCGGTTCTGCTCGTGGTCGGGTCGTCCGCGGGGTAGACGGACCGCCATAATCCCCCGGACGAATCTCATAAGTCGTCTATCCGCCGTTGGAAGGACAAAAAGGGACTAATATAACGCGGGCGCATATGTAGGTACGGAATTATATTAAAAATCTTTAAAACGGTATATATTTATTTCTGGAATATAGAGTTTCGAAATAAAAAAAAAATACCTCTGTAATTGTTGAATTAACAACGATTTGAATACAATAATAACAATAAACCCATTAAAAAAATTATTTATCCTGGTATTTAAAAAAAAATAACAAAAAAAATAGCTCGTATTGGCGTGTGGTTGCGCACGGGTGTAGCTTTTATTATGTTTGAAACCTACGCATTTCCGAGTACCAAAAAACGGCCAATATTCGGCCAAGGCCTTCGCTCACGCTTTTGTGCTGTTGATTTCTCGAAAACCGTTGATTCGGTTAAAAACGACGTATAACAGACAATGGTTTCTTCTATTCGAATGTTTTCGAGCGCTTGACTATTTTTCAGACAAATAAAAAACTGAATCTAACATAACAGCTATAGTCATAAAATATTTTATTTTTAATTCTAATATTTTCTCATCATTATATATAGAATAAAAAAATAACTTATGTCTATAAATTTATCATAGAAATCATCCATACCTCCCTCCTACAATATAATCATACCTCATAAAGTGGTGTCGGACATTGTAATCATGGCCCGAGCAATATAGACCAATCATTATATGGTGTTTTATCATAACAATTCCCTTTAACACTTACCCGAGGCGACAAAAACATTACTTCGCCGTAGCATAGTCAGGATTTTGCTTTGGGACTAATAATATATGTTATACAGGGAAAAGCTAACTAGGAACCATCATAAATTCATAATTGTATCATGCTAATGCCTCGGGCGTTTCACAGTTTAGACTTTTGCTGTAACATTCATACAAATTACAATTTTAATACTGTGCACTTACATCTCACGTCGTACGTCCACAGGACATTGAAAGCATTTTCACATTTTCCAGAAATTTTGTGGAGGGCTGCAACCCCCTCAGCCCCTCTGGCCAAGCCATTGCTACCTGATACTATGTATATCATTCGTTCACGATATCGCAATACAACTATTTAGAATATTATAATATTGCGTTACGATAACGAAAAAATATATTTTTGTGTGTTGTCCGCTGGCGCAGGTGGAGCGCATCGTTTCACTGGCCGTGCCCATACTGTTCGGCATCATCGTGGTGGTCGGGCTGCTGGGCAACCTGCTGGTGGTGATCGTGGTGATGGCCAACCAGCAGATGCGGAGCACCACCAACCTGCTGATCATCAACCTGGCGCTGGCCGACCTGCTGTTCATAGTGTTCTGCGTGCCGTTCACCGCCGTCGACTACATGCTGCCGTACTGGCCGTTCGGCGACGTCTGGTGCAAAATGGTCCAGTACCTGATCGTGGTGACCGCGTACGCGAGCGTCTACACGCTGGTGCTCATGTCGCTGGACCGGTTCCTGGCCGTCGTCCATCCGATCGCTTCCATATACGTGCGCACCGAGCGCAACGCGTCCTCCGCCATACTCGTCACGTGGGTGCTGATCGTACTGCTCGCGTTACCAGTGCTCGCCAGACACGGCGAGGTCACGTACACGTTTTCCAGCACCGAGCACACGGCGTGCATATTCCTCGAAAGCGACCAGAAGAACCGACCGGACGGTTACAACAAGCCGGCGTACCAGGTAAGCGCGCGCAGCGTAACGCGTAACGTTTAGGTCTAAAGTTGGGGGGGGGGGTGAGTTTTTTTGCTCCCTCGGGACGGCATATTTTATACAACGCGGTTATTGTTCGAAACTAACGTTCTACTACAGCTACAATTTACTCACCCCTATAATTGCAGGACGATGATGTGGCGGTTAGAGTTCACTTGATATAACACTCGTACTCGTAGGTAGGCACCCAAATGTATACTCGCACAGTTGCAAAAGTCTAATCAGTAACTCCGAATTCTTTAAAAACTACCGTGGCACATAAAATGTACCATCAAACAGTTACGCTGCTGACGTTAATTGGGAGCACTTATTTGGAAATTTACCTTCAGCCGATTCCAATATATCCTTCTGTTTCTAGGTATCATGTATGTTACTTTGGTAGATATTATTATTCCCATGTCGTCAGCAAAGTTCAGAAATGTAAAATGTCCTCGGAGCTTTACTTATAGCATTGTAAAGAACATTTCAGAGGACGTTACATATTTCGTTAGTTTAAAATATGTAACTTGTAGAGCATAGGTACATTCATGAATATTGAATAGGTTTTTAATGAATATGATTATCTGTCCAACCTTTTAATAATTATTCGTTAATAATTATAAAATATACTTACTCATACAACTGCAGGCATCATTCAATAGTTTCACTACAATATACAAAGGTTTTACGAAGAAAATTTTATTTTTTCCGTTTGCCGATATATGGTTATATTCTTCAGTTTCTGGCTCTAAATTCCAATTTAAGGTTTCAGTATGTTTTTAGTTTTTGTTTATTTATTGAGATAAATTAAAATCACATGATTGATTATTGTGCTTTAAAGGGTTTTTATTTTAATAATATTGTATAGGTAGCGCACATTGGATTTCTAAAAGACAAGTTAAAAGTTACGTCCATTTGATTTAAAAGCCTCGTGTTTAAATGGCATACATATATAATACGTAAAATGTTCTATACATTTTTATCAAGACAATAAGATTATATTTAATTTTCGAATATATTACTGAAACCAATAAAAAATATTTAAGAAGTTGATTTTATTAGAATTTCTACTAACTATAAAAAATAAAACATATGCGTATATAACTAATAAAATCAAAAACAATGTCAAAAATGACTGTACATAAATTGTTTAGGTTATAATTATTTTCTTTCATAAAAACTATCTATTTTTTATGACTGTCAATGCATGTATATTGTCTTGCATTGAATTTACTTGTTCATCGTTTTCGCCTAGTTTAAATACATAAATAGATAAACTTATTAATAATAAAAATTCAAAATCAAATATATTTTTATAAGTAAAAAACGACAATTATTTAAGCGGATTTCAACGTAATTTAATTTTTTCTATGGAAAAACTGATTAAAAAATCCAAGTCATATTTTTAAATATTAGTTCGACTATGGCCATATTCAATATTCTGTAAAATGTGCTTAATTTTAGAGGTATAATATATAGTTTGCATTATAAGAATAATAAAAACTGCTTGAGAACAAAAAGAATCTTGAAAATCAATAACTTATAAACCATTAGGTACCTAACTATACCTAAATATTTTTTTTCTAGAATATATGGTAGATCCTAAGTGAAGCTAAGCAGATACCTGCTCGTGGTTGACAATTTGCTGTCATTACATTTAGTATTTCATCATGTTTTTCCTTGAAACTCAACAATATTGCGAATAACTTATTATTAATGTAAACGCGTTAATAATAAAATCTCAACCGTTTTTGGATAAACTAAACTTTGTTCATAATACATACTATTCAAATGCAACGGTTTATCAATACGCTTAAAACTTTACTGGTACCTATACCTAACCTATTAGTGACGTATACCAAACTTCTGTGTATCACTATTCTACAGGGTGTAAAGGGTATACTTTTATATGTGTATAATATTATCTTACCCATATATTTGGTCTTGTCATAATCGATTGAACTCGAAAACCTGTATAGAATAGTAAACTGCATCAAAGCATTGAAAACAAATTGATGTTTTTTAGAAATATTATAACCATATTCATTTAACTTCAACGGTGCATATTATAGTCGATCACCTCGCACCTAAATACTTGAGGACCATATTCGACGGCGATTAATGCAATGCAATTAAAACGAAAGTAAGGAAAAGTTGATAAAATATAGTAGCTTTAACTTTATGTTGAATGCACGCTGTTTTTCCATTGATCTCATAGAATACATAGATATTCAAAATATAATTATTTTTCGAACTCACACATGTATACAATATACCCAAAACATGCGAAATAACTAGTAATAATTAAAGTTATTTAATTTACGGTCACTGTGTAACTCGTTTGGATGTATTCATACAAAGTACAAACATATAAAATATGCGTCATAAATATTTTTTATGATATTTAAAATAAGTAATAAATCATTAGTATACATATATTTTAGTATTGTTGAAAATAAATGAAAATTCCATGCATTATTGTCCATTGGTAAACTAGAACAAACATAAATATTTAATTTTAGTAATTAATATTTTATTGTCATTGTGACATTTTATGAGGGTAGGTAACAATACTAACTAGTTACAGGGTATAGTATACGTTCAAGTTAAACCGTCATTATTTGTACTGGAAAGTAATCTCAAAATCTATGGGTAGTATTATTGTATTATACATAAGGACAGAAGGTAATATTATTGTCGAAATCCTGAAGTATTATTTGAATATCGACTAACTATGTACATACCATATACCTTAATATACTACTAGAAAAGAATTGTGAAGTACAACAGCATTACGATCGGCTTATTGACATCTGGCAATGATGTAGGCTGTCTTGACAAGAAAATACAATAATCTATATATTTTATATCTTACTCCAATTACCCCGCATTACCGTGCGCACAACTAATTGAGTAATCAAAAAGCGCCCTCTAAGTTGTCACTCTTTCCATACACTCATTGCATGTCTATTAGTATAAGGTCCATCGTACATACCTATCCATACCGATGCATCTCATATAGTTTTCATTTCTTGGATTTAGAACTGTTTGATAAAATATTTGAAAAACATAATTTCAATTATTTTCTATTAAAATAGTACACTTTTTTATGTAACAATAAAATATCGTCGGTATTCAATAAAAATTTAATTTTTTTCTAAAATATAATGGATGAAGCTAATGTCCTTTGTTGACTAAACTTAAGTTTAAAAAAAGAAAATTTAATTCATTTTGATGTTTATTAATTATTTTGTTATTCCTAAGAAATATATATTTTAAAATCAAAAAAAAAGGTAAAAATCTCAAAAACCATTATCTCTCATATGGTATAATTTTAATATAGATATATATCTTATTTTCACGATTCGTTTAACTGTTGTGGTGTTTAGTTTTATTGTATAATGTCACTTAATTCCAAAAATATATTGTAATTATATTATATATAAAAACACAAATCTGTATTACTTTAAAGTTAAAAATAGTAAGAATTATAATAAATAATATTACGCGTTTAAAATTGAAGAAATTCAGTTAATAAAGTCTCATATTAATTTTAAATAGATTTAATTCGGTATTATCCTTTATAAATTGTATGAATTATAAGCCATAATATTAATATTATTATTTATTTTTAATTCAATGGTAACTAAAACCAAATATCCAATATCGTCTGTCTCAGATATTAATTTTGGATTGGATTTACATCAACGCCGAGCATTTGCAACGTACAGATTACTTAATAACTTTTCCATTTTAATTTTTTTTTTTTTTTATAATATAAATAAATTTACAATCTGTAATAAAATAAAACAATAAGTAAATGTGAGATTTTTTTACAAGGTTTGGAGGCTTGACTGAAGGGTGCGTCCATTGACACTACTTCAAACTGGTTTTTTTTTTTTTTTGTAATTATTTAGTGAAGTAAATCACGAGGCCAATTTCGTTTTAGTCGACGGGGAGGGTTATCCGGGAGAGTTTAAGAGGAGACCATTTTAAGTTAAAATTGAATTTTTAATATTTCATTAATCTTGTTTTTTTTTGCCATTTTTAAGACTAGGAAGTTGTATCTAATTACAGATAAACTTTGAAAATTTAGATATAAATAATAATTTATACTTAAAACATATATTATGTAAATATTATAGTACTTACACATATTTGAATCTGAATTATAAAATATAATTAATATATGAAATTGCATGCGTTAGGTGCATTACCTTTATAAACGTACGTCATGGTGAGTAATCAAATTTTAATATGATGATAGTTTTTATTAGCATCACGTTGCTTTAAATGAAATCATCCCATTGTAATCCTAATACTTTCCTTGTTCCTCTGGAATTCAACATAAACCAGATTAGGTACAATTGAAATATGTTGAGTTATAAATTTAAATGCGTTTGTACTCAAACGTAATATTGGGATGAAAAAAACCAACATATTACAATACGAAAAGAAGATCCGAAGGAATTTAGAAGTCGCTACACAACACAGTGAAAAAATAAAATTTAAATATAACAGCACCTTGGCATATGAAACTTCATTCTTTGATTTAATTTGTGTATTTTTTATTATCTGATTTAACATTTTTGCTTATCATGGCTAGTATAATAATTATAGCATTAGTTCACTATTTTAAGTCTAATTATTCTTCTGTTTCTTTATAAGTATTTAATAAATTTATACCTTATTTAAAGTATAGAAACAAAGATGTCACGGTCCATAAAAAAGTTAATGTAATGAACCTATTGAAGTTTCAAACATAATAGAAAAAACATATTTGTTTTATTATTTAGAATTATTCTTTAATACATATAAAATGTTATTTTGTTTGTGATTTCAGTTTTGACTGTTATATTTTATTTTTTGTTTTTTATTTGGTATAATAATTGTAATATGACATCTGTGAAAGTTCATTTATCTTTAAGAAGTACCCTAAAAGTAGATGCAGAATCAAATATTTTTATTTAATTAATAATTTATGAGAAAAA